GCAGTTGGAGCTTCGTCTTGGAAGGCTGAGCAGATGTTGACTTCTTCTTGCTACCCCATTTCTGGTGGTGGTGGTGGTGGTAGTGGTGGTGGAAGCAAGTCACTGGATCATGATTTTGACTCTTTTGAATGTGAGAGTGAGGTGGTTGCCTGATTCATGTTCTGAGCTGGTTTCACTTGATTCACTGGGCTGTGGGTCAATTGATGGCTTGTAGTGGTGGTTTGCAGGAGAGTGTGGAGGTGCCGGAGGAGCACACAAAGCCGGTTCCGGCACGGAGCTCCGGCTCCAAGAGGAGCAGGGCTGCAGAGGTTCACAACATGTCTGAAAAGGTCTTCTTTTTAACCCTTTCATCATCTTCTATGTGTTCGATTGGTTTTGTTGGACACTCACTGTCAGATTTATGGTTCTGTGGTGCGATCTTTTGGAAGCAGAGGAGGAGGAGTAGAATCAATGAGAAGATGAGGGCACTGCAAAATCTGATTCCCAACTCAAATAAGGTGCCACCGAACAAAAGTTTATTGGCTTTACTGAATTTTCTGGCTCATTGTGTTCTTTTCTTGTCTTCTTTACTTTGGACATGTTGTGCTTTTGAGCAGACAGATAAGGCTTCCATGCTTGATGAGGCTATTGAGTATCTCAAACAATTACAGCTCCAAGTGCAGGTCAGTAAATGCTGTCAGGTTCTTCTATCTGTAAATGTTAGATGATCTTTACCAATCTATGTGTAAGTTCTTTCCTCCTATGTTGTGATATCTTGTCCAAGTGCATGTGAAATTTATTTGACATTAGCTTCTGCTCACAGTTTCTCTTTATCCTTGGAAAAAATTATCTGAAATTTAAGATAAGAATCAACAAACATAATAGTTCTGCAACTTACAACTAGCAAATCATGGATGCAGCATGGACACTGTTGTTGTTGTTCCCTTGATGCTCTGAGTGAAAACCTCTTAACTCTTATGAGTTTACAGTGAATGATTCGAATTAGGTTTTGAGAATTCTTACTCTTATCCAAGCACATGAAATGAGAAATTTAACTTGCGGATAGATGAGCATTTATAAGACAGTTTTGAAGTAAGGGAAAAAAAAATTGAGGTTGCATGCAGTGAGTCTTGTTGTTCTGTGGTTTGGTTAGTGCACACAAATAATCTTGTCTTTGAGCTTCAAATATGCACTTTGGTATCGCGTTCACTGTTCTGCTTGGGACATATTTTGTCTTTGTTCATAGATTCTGATGACTCCGAGTCCTAAACAAACTTGCCCCTCCAACACCAAAAAAAATTTTCAAGGATGGATTAATCCCAAATCTTGTAGATCCTTTTCCACATCTCAAGACATGTAGATTAATGAGAAATATGTGAAATTTACTTATAAATTGTCAGGTATATTCCTTTGCTCTCCCACATAGGCATGCCTCCTTAAGATGATAATTACATAATCACTTGATGCCAAGCTAGTGTGCCTCCTTAAGATTTTAAGTTGGGTTGGGATCCAAGAATAACAGTTGTAAATTTAGGTTTGCCCTTAGTCAACATCGAATTCATGAAGTTATTATCATAAAACCAAGTTTCCTCGGAGAGCCAAAGTTCTAGGAGTAAGGAATCAACAGAAACAAAGAACATATGGAATTTAAGAGCTCCATTCAATTTCAAATCCAGAAGATAAGTTATTTCAGAATCTAAAGATTTGGACTCTGGTTTTGAGTGGCCCCTCTGATCATCCAATTTCTTATTTGTTCCATTATTTGTTCTTCCTTGCCTCTGAAGGGAGTTTATCTGCAGAGCACGTGAAAAAGCTTTGGAATGAGCCTTAAGCTTCTTTTTGGTTATCAAATAACTCAAAAGGCTGACCACATTATGGGAATCATTATTTGTAAATTGTGGTATACAATGACAAATTTCAAACTCACTCCTTACCATAATAAAAGACACCTTTTTTTTCTACTAGCTTAAAATCAGGTTAGCTTGAACGAGTTCCTTCTTTCTGTATTTTATGCTTATGATAAATTGTCTTTTGTTTCTGTTTTCGTTGCAGATTCTTTCAATGAAGAATGGTCTTAATCTCCACTCCATGTATTTGTCTGGAGGACTTCAGCCTTTCCGAACTTCACAGACATGTATAGGTTTCGGTCTGAATGGCAACATAGCAATGAACAACCGAACAGGAATGCTTCCCCTGAACCAAGATTCACCTGTTCGGAGCTCATTTGATCTGTCAAATCAGTGCACAACAATCGAGCCCAGTCTCATCAATGTGACTAATCTTGAGACTCCATTAGTGAATCCAGTAGAATCTCAACGTGGATCAGTCCAAGTTCCTGTATCCTGTGAGGTAATCTTTTTCTTTACCTACATACCATTACTCCTGCAGCATGGTATTATAGAAGAATCAATTCTGAATACAGACATCATAGAAGAATTATGCATGCAGATAGATCAACTTGTGAAATCCTGGGTGCGGAGTTTTAATGTAAACCATTTTTCTTCTATTCTCATAGGAAATGTTAACAAGTGACTTGTTGACCCAGTTATATGCAGCGGATTACACAAGGGATCTCACAGGTAAACTATCATAGTTCCTCCAAGCACCACATTTGGTGACTGCTGCATGTTTGTGACGAATTCTCATCTCATTGCATTTCTCGAAAGAAACTATGAGAATTTTCATAGCTGTTGATGATTCTAAACGATCAGGTGGGCAAACATCATCTGCAATTGGTATCGACTACTTGGAAGAATGCATATTGGGAATAGAAGGGAGGTCACAACAATTGCTATCCGATGAGGAAAATTTCATTCAGCACTTGCATGGGTAATTTCTTTGTCTGTTTTGCATTACTGATGTTGATCTCATGACTGTTCTTTGATTTGTATGATACTGGCCAGCTTGCAGACCGTAACTTTTCCAAGTTCTGATTTGAAGGAACCATTTCAAGATTCCTAAAGTGCACTGATTACGCCATGATGCCAAGGAAACCAGATACATTGCACTGTGCCATCTTTTGATGAGATTTACGGGATGTATTTTTGACATTTCTTTGGCATTGAAATATCTTCTAACTTGTGGATTGTGAAATCAGCTGCTACTAATGTGAGAACAAAGAATCAATAGAAGAATAGATCTTTTTAGACTAAAAGTTCTTTCGGAATCCTCCACTGCATGTTAGTAATGAGATGTTTGTCCAACTTGTTTAACTACTTCTTGCATTCTCTGTGAGAGCAGAATCATCTTGATTAGATATCGAATGCAACACTTGCTTAGACTTCCATTTCTTTAGTGTCATCATGTCCAAAAGCATTCATACTCCTTGGTGTAACTGTTTCTTAAGGAAAGACTAATTCTTCTCCTAGTAATGCTGCTGCCATCAATTCATACACTTAAGAATCTTGTCCACCGTTCTCCAGTACAGCTTGTATTTGACACACAATCTTCAGCCGCAGAAGGAATGTTTCTCTTTGAGACATACCTATCACTCTTCTCTCCTTCACTTGCTTGTGTTTTGCTTTCAAGTCTTTAGTTTGTAGTTGGGGTGAACATGGAAGTGAATGACAATGCTGAAGGTGGATTGGACAAGCTGGTGTACATTGTACTCTGCACTACATCTCACTTCATAGCATTGATCCAAGCTCACAGTTTGGTTGCTTGATAGTTAGTATTCCACTTATCTCTTACAATAATCTCCTAAAATTTCCATACCTACAAATACTGGTGGATGGTGTTGGATCTGCTTGCAAATCTTGAATTGATCGAGTGATGAGAGAATGTTAGATCTGCTCAATTTATGGAAGAAGTAATGCATTATCATCTTTGTACATTTCTACTGCTGAATTAGCACATCTTATAACAATATCCATTTTCAGCACCACTTTTCCTGATCATGCTTCAAATTTGCCATCTTTCTGAAACAGGTGATGATGCCATGATGAGTGAAAAAGGATTTGAAGTTGTGCTGAAAAAGTTGCAAGAACTGAAAAAGGATGACCACTCGAGTTTTAGTCTTTTATCAATGTTCTGGAAGTCATTGTTGTTACCAGAATAAGGATTGCACTTCTACATGTTGGTAGGCTGCTTTGTTCTTGTGACATGCTCTGGACTCCTGAAGTAAACCACTGAAAGGCATTGGGGAAATAGCTGCTTGGAGTGCTTTGCACATTAAGAAAGAACAAATTCCAAGAAATTATTGGCTACAGTTAAAAGTATATAACTTGTTTTTGGTAAATGTATGTGTGTGTATATATACATATATATAAATATACATATGTATATATATGTATATATAAAAGATGTATATTAAAGCTAGAGAATTTAACATGTTCCGATAACAACATGCACTGCATAGGTTCTACAAGCTGGATAGCATTATTGTGAAACAGTAAGAGTAGAAGCTAGAAAGGTACCACCAGAGTTTGGTGGGAGCCAATGTTGCCCTGGAATCCAATGTTTCTGTTCCATTATCTGTCAGGAAGTTTTCATGGGTTCTTCACACTTTACTGTGAGAGCCAGAGTTAACAATGGTCAACACATACTGACAGCTAAGTGCTCTCTCTCTTCCAATGATTTACAACTTAGGACAATGCTTCTATCCAAAAATTCTTGGTCCCCAAATTAATTCTTTCATCCTAAAATATGATAGCTTAGTTTTCCTTTTCATTGGATAAGAACAGTGGTAACCTGATAAGTGGTAGCTGCTTGCTACAACTGTTCAGAAGAAGATGCATGAAGCTCTGGGAGGTTTATTTGAGCCCTCCCTGAGACTGACTGAAGTGTTGAGGAGTCTTAGTTTGAGTGGAGATCAAGTGAACCCTTATTGTCCTTGCTTCTGTGAAGAAGGAGCTTGAGATATGTCATAAAGGTTGCAACAGAGATGTTAAACATAGACACATCCCTTGTTGATAATAACTATATAAGCCTCTAATGTAGAGCTTTAGTGACCCTACTTGTTTCTATTGTGACTCCTCTTACTCCCTACCTTTGTCCTACCAACCTATTCATGTCTACTCCTTGATGAGACAAAAACACAAGGAAAAAGGCACACTCTGGGAGATAAAAAAAAAGTAGCTTTGGTTCTCTCTCTCTCTCTCTCTCCCCTCCCCCCCACTGTGCATGTTGTTGTTGCCCTTGCTTCTATGCTCTGATGCTGAGAATGGAGCTCCTGGGTTGAAGTGAGGTCAGTCCAACTTAACTACTCCACATCTTCCTCTACCTCTAGCCTCATTAGAGTTGCAGACACAGTTTTACCACATGCATGATGCATTCCCTAAGACTCCTTTTGATTTATTGTTTTCCTTTCGTCCTAATATGAGCATGACACTTGCTGAAATTTTGGATAGTTTTGCACATTAGCCACTTGGATTTTGACCTGTTTCTTTCTTCCTTTCTATCAACTTTCTTGTAAATTTGGTATTGACTAAGATCTTGCACTGGTGGGTTAAAACTTGAACATTAGCTAAACTCCAGAAGGGTTTGCATTGGAGTTTGAAGGGGATGACTGTCTTCTATATGAAAAATTGGCTGATTTTGTAACATCAAGAGTATAATGCTCATATTTCTGTGAAGCATAGCTTTTCTGAGCTGGTCTTGCTGAAATCAGTTTGGAGCTTAGGTTGATTAAGTGGTCATGGTACTCAGGAAATCAACTTCTAGTATGGGTTTTTATTCAAAAATTGATGGACATAAAGTTGGGGAATTTGGTTGAACAGGGGATGATGAGATTGTGTGTGGAAAATGTGAATGCTTCTACTTCGAGAAACATGTAATAAATCCATATAAATATTCTTGTGTATCTATAGTTGCAAAAGATTATTTTCAACTGGTAATGAAATGCAATGAAAAGAAAGTACAACATTTACTTGCAACAAGATGAAGGCAAATTTCTTTTCCCTCAAGGAAAGTTGAACTTTGATATAAATGAGATGCCATACTCACTAGTATTTTATTGAGATATTCCAGTCTAATTTTATTTAGCTCTACAGGTTGTTATAATAGCTGAGATGGAATATGGAGATACTTTATTATGTAGCAGTTAAAATTTATCATAAAGGACCACATATAATGTGTATAAGTATATAAATATATGTATATATATGATACACAAGAACAGATATACAAAACTCCAAATGGGAAAACTAGAATGATCCAATATGAAGATATTTTACACAATTAATGAATCCCAGAATGGACATGGAAATCAACAATTTTGTTCAACGGAATCCTCGTAACCAAATTTTTTAATTGAAGAATTTTTCCTACTTAATTTATTCAAGATTCATGGAGAACATTCAAAATGAGCTTCTGTATATCAGAAGCTCATGATGAGGGATACTTTTAAGTCATGCAATAAGGCCCTTGATAAAGGATCACATTCCCAAGAATGTCGATTGACATACAAATTTCAAATATATGCAATCTTTACTGAAATTGTGCAAAATCTGTTCTTCTTTTTCAATTGCCACCTCCTTTTGCACTTTTTCCAGCACTGTTCTATTAATTATTTTCCACCCTACCATCATACTTGTCATGGTTTAAAGGATATTAGTGATGCATCTATTTGAGAAGTTCTGTGACATATAAATTCTGAATAGCCAAATAGGATTCCTTATTAGTAGCTGTGCACTTTGTAGAAATTTGTCAGGATCATGGAGAACAAAACAAGGCTTTGGAAGAGAAAGTGTTCAGAGAAGAACATGATCAAGGTAAGCAATAACAAGATCTTCAGCTTGATTGATCAATGTTTTTTTGTTCTTCTTTCCTCTTCTAATATAACAAATGTCTCATAATCAGCAACCTTTACAAATTGGATTTCTTAAAAATGAATTAGTTTCTGAGAACTGATCTCTAGATCCTTTTATACTTTTCCCTGCTTCATGAAACGAGGATTTTGCTATCGACATCTAATAAAAAATTGGTGGCAACCAATCTTCTATAAATCCTCTTTACCAGGCTTTCTTCTGCATTGTTAAATAATAGATCATTTGTTCTGATTGATTATAAAGAAGGATGAAATAAATAGTCAGATCAAGTGGGGGAAATGCTTCTATTCAAATGTTCTATGATTTGCGTCACTATTGGATGTTTAAGACTTAACATAGACTATCACTTCCTAAGGGATGTCAAACTATTTTCTGTGTCCTATGTCAAACTCTTTTCTGCTTCCTATGAAAAGAAATATACATTTCCTTCTTATGCTTAGTGTCATTCTTAAACTTTTCATGATTTTATTCAGAAAGAGAAGATCCTTGAGTTAGAGAGATCCTTAGAAGACTTGAACGAACAACTGTCATCTGTTCTTACTGAGTCCAGTGTTAAGGATGATCTTTTGACAAAGCAAGGAAAAGTGGCCAATGAAGCAATGTCAGGTTAATTTTTTTTTTTCTGAAGTTTTGTATCTTGCATTAGATTCACATAAACATGATGGCTCTCCTGAGAGTCTGTTTTATCTTAAAATTCAATCATGTTGAACTTGTTAGGATGGGAAAAAGCTGAAGCTGAAGCCCTTTCTTTAAAACAAAAACTAGACGATGCTTTACTTCAGAAAAGAACTGCTGAAGAAAGATTAGTTAACACAGATATTGCATTAAAAGAATGCATGCAACAGCTACGAGTTATTAAGAAAGACCAGCAGCTCATTATTAACAATGCTTCTTTGAAGATATCAAGAGAACAGGACAACATGCGAACTTTGGAACAGGGGATGATTGAGACAAATAAGAGGCTCACTGAATTACTAATTCAAAATAGCAACCTGAATAGAGTTCTAGAGGCCAGAGAACAGTTGGTGAAGGAATTGAGTGTGTCCAAATCCAATTCAGAAGCAAAATTCATGGAAGCAATGGCCAGTCTTGATTCCGCAGAGAAACTCAATGCTTCTCTAAAGTATGAGGTGTGCATGCTTCAAAAGGAGCTTGAGATTCAAAATAAAGAGACCGAACTCAATCGCAGATCTGCTGATGCTGCTCATAGGCAACACCTGGAGAGCATTAATAAGATTGCTAAGCTAGAATCAGAGTGCCAAAAATTGCGTGTCATTGCCAGGAAGCGACTACCAGGGCCTGCTGCTTTAGCTAAAATAAGAAATGAGGTTGAAAGACTGAGTAGTAATTCTGTTGAAACGAGGAAGAAAAAGTCCAATTCCACAAGTGAAGCCTTCAATACAAAGGATATTAAGCTAGAAGAATGTTATGATGGATCAAGCAAGGGTGCTACTTCTCGTGTTGAGAGATTACATGCCATTGAAGATGAAAACCAGATTCTCAAAGAATCACTGACTAAGAAAAACAGTGAACTTCAAGCATTGAGTATCATGCTTGCACATACAGAGTCCAAACTGTCAAAGGTAGAGACACAACTTAAAGAATTACCAAAAGGACAAGCTTGCTTCGAGCCAGCAAGCAGCAGCCCAGTGTCATATGACCTGCCACTTTCATCAATATCAGAGAATGATAGCAATGAAGATAACATTAGCTGTGCTGAATCGTGGACTACTAGTTTAATCTCTGAACTGAAGCACTTCAAAAGTGGAAAACCAGCTGTGCAACCATGTAAAATTTATGGAATTTCAGGTTTTAGTTTAATGGATGATTTTGTTGAGATGGAGAAACTAGCAGTAGTTTCTGCAGATAAACATTTTGGAAGTTCACTCGGTATGTGTGGTGATAATAATGCATGTGTGACCAATAAAGAACCTTTGACAGGTCTTGGTCTATTAGAAGCAACAAATAAGGAGCTTGTTACAATCAAGGATTTCTCTGATTTCATTGAAGAAAATAATGAAGTTCAAGTCACGAACATATCATTTGAAAAATACCCTACCTGGCTTCAGGATATTCTGACGATCATTGTACAAAAGCATCATATCTTAGAAAAAAGTTTAAATGCCATTCTTGAAGATGTTAGGGTAGCTCTGAGTGACTGGGATTATTCTATAAAGGCAAGATGTTCAGATAGCCTATATTGCAGCGACAAAGTACTTCAGCTACTGAAACACTCTTCATCAGATTCAATTGATGGAGCAATCAATGCAGGCATACTGGACAGCGAACATAGTACCCGATCAAACTTTGAGAGGCCAGTTCGTAAGCTTGTCAAATTGGTTGAGGGAATCATTCAGAGAAATATAAGAAGTAAAAGTGGTCAGCACATGTTATCTGGTGATGATGAAGGCACTTATTCACACCAGAAATCTGCATCAGCAAATGGGCATGTTGCTCATGCATTACTATGGGAAAGTTCTGAATTCACTGCTGTTCTACAGAAATTTGTTGCTGTATGTAATGATCTGTTGAATGGGAAGGTTGATCTTCAACAGTTTGCTGCTGAAGTAACTTCAATTGTGGACTGGATTGCAAACCACTCTTTCGCCCTTCAAGAAGTTTCAGACATGAAGGAGATGTTTAGGAAATACTTGGATGCAGATAAATCATGCAGTGATAATGAACTTAAGGCTGTAATATACACAACTAAAGATAACGATAAGTTAGATGGACATGAAGAACCCAGTTTTGATAAAGAAAGAAAAATACCTTTAGTCTCTGCATCAAATGGTTTGTGTATCTTGTTTACCATGGAGGATATTGAATCCAATCTGAAATGTGAAAATGAGCATCTAAAATCGGAGATCATGTGTATGGAGTCCAGAAAGAAAGATTTGGAGGAAATGCTACAAGCATCTAGTACTAAGAATAAGACATTGATAGCTCAAATCCATGAATCAGAAGAAGACATTTCCAATTTACAAATAGAGCTAGCAACACTTAAGGAGTCCAACGGGCAGATTGAAAACCAGGTTCTAAGCCAAAAGTTAATTAGTGAAGATCTTGGAGTGCAGCTAACAGTTGCAAAGGCTGAACTGAATGAGGCTTATCAAAAACTCTCATCCCTTGAGGTTGAACTGGGGCACAAAAGCAATTGCTGTGAAGAACTAGAGGAAGCATGTCTAGAACTACAGCTTCAGTTAGAAATGTATGAATTATTTCTTTTGTGTGCTTTTCTTTTACCGAAAATCTTATAAATATCATCTGAAATCTTTAACTCTCTCTGGCACAGTGCTTCATCTAAGGAAACTCCAAAGTATATCATGACCCAAGACGAAAAGCAAATCCAGGCAGTAAGTCCTATTATCTTCAGTGATATAATTGTTAAATGTAAATTAAATTTTCTCTGGACCTATTGGCACACTATATATGAGAAATATGAAGCTAACTATTGTTCTGAGGTTATAGGCTAATTGATGATACATGCCTGGTAGATCTTGTTGGTTCTACTATTATTTCAGTAAATATGGGTTTATGAATGCTAAACACACCACAAGTATCAGGAGGAATTGTGAGCAGGTCTGACCAAATGCTTGTTCAAGACATCCACTGATTTCGGTATCCTTTAATTGAAGTTGCAACTTTAGTTGTGTACTTCTGATTCTCAAGCAGTTGTGTCTTTAATTCAAATTTCTTGTTTCAGATGGACGAATACGATATAATGACTATGAAATTACCTTAGTATTGAGACCTTAAACAAAATTAATTGTATGATCTTGCAGGATTGTGACATAGTTGCTGCTTCAGAGAAACCAAGTGATGCATCTCTATCAGAGAAGTTGATATCTAGTCCTGCTACTACAAAATCTAAATGTCAGCCCAGATTATTTGATCATATGAGAACAGACGATCATGCAACAACTGGAGAATTCAAACCTCCTAACACAAAGGAAATCATATGCACCGAAGTGCGGAATCTGACAGCTGCAGCTTCTGAGAGTCCCAGGTCAGGTCTGCTATATGGACGGAACATCCACATGAACCATGGTTACGGAAACTTGGCAAACTCTATCACTCAGCTATCACCAAAGAAATTGGATGATTCTTACAAGCAGAAAGGAGGAGCTGATGCAGGAATGCTTACGGTTGCACCCAAGAGACAAAATGGGGTCAACTCTCTCAGAAACCTCTTGCTGCAAAGAAAACAGGAGAGCAGTAAGAAGCTTGCACTTCCTATGGGTTCCAGGTAGCAGACATGCATATGTTTACATGTTTCTTGGTGAGTTTTAGATTGTGAGCGCATCTAAAAGAACGTAAGAAGATGTAAACTTCCTGTATGTAATCTTAATGCGTCTTCCTGTGTGTGTATATTAGGTCCTTATGGTGTCAGAGAATCTGAGATTAGAACATGACAGTGTTCACAAACTTGGTTATGGGTATATATGATCTTTAAGTTGTGTTGAAGGTAATAGCCTACAGTTGTACCTATTGTCATCCTTGTGCTTTCAATATGCCAGTGGTGGGCCTATTCTCATCATATCCAATGTTAGATCTTCTTTGAAACCATTTGAGATAACAGATTTCTTAATCTAATAGGTCTGAACTTACCATACTCATTGTAGACATATGAAGTGTTGGATTAAACTAGATTTCATAGATTTAATTCTCTAGTGGAATTACTATCGAAATAAGGAAAAACAACTCTTATCCAAATGTATGTTTGGACACTCATACTATCTATTAATATTCTGTTTTGGGGTGTTTTGACTTGTAGTAGAAAGATTCAGCTTGTTTCCTTCTTTTCCTAAGAAAAAAGAAAGGAAATCCTACCTAATTTAGGTCAAACCCACTGAGATTTGTAATAACTATAACAAGAAGCTTTGATGGATTGGTAAAATGTTTCTAGGTTTTCATTCTGGTCATCCAACATTAACTTACATTTGTCTCCCAACATTGACTTCCATCATCAGCACCTCCACACACTAATACGTGTATCAGTTCTTCCAACTCCAACTTCTTTTGACTTCTCTTTTACCCTTTTGTTCTCCGTTCCGGGGATTGGAGGAATCTTGTTCATTGCATCTCCACCCAAAAGCATGGAGGCAACTCATCATTAAAGCAGGAAGAACCGACCGATTTGACTCCTGTCATTCTCTACTTCGAAGCCAACAACACCAGCCCATCCCACGCCACCTTTTCTTTCTTCCACTCCACCCCAAAGTCAAACTCTCCCCATCATTTGGTCTTCCCTTCTCTTGCATGCTTTCCGGTCCCAGCCATGTCCTCCACGCACTGTGACCCCATCTGCACAAAAAACCTCACCAAGTCTGCCTCATGGCAGAACCTTTGATTCACTGTTCCTACTAAGCACCATTACATTTTCATTAGATCCATCTGGTACTTGGACATTAGTGTGATGCAGTGAATCTCTCTGGTTGCAAAATATTTGTGTATGTGATGGAGGTAAAGATAATTAAAGATATATTAAGTCTGACCTGCAATCTAAAAACTTAAATTGTTATTTATTCCTGGAGAGCAGAGATTACAAATAATTTGTGACAGACTATTTTTTCTCTTTAAAGAGCAGTTAACAGTGATTTTTTTTTTCTTACAAATAAAATAATCTCAACTGGCACAAAGTAGAAAAAAAGTGTTGTATGTACCCACCTGTAAAGCTCAATCATATGCTGATGCACTTAACCAAGATCTGTTGGTCTTTTCCCTGGACAAGAAGATAAATGTGTTAGCTAGCATAAATATGTAGCCATGAACTCAAATGATCATATATGGAACTGCTCCAAGACATAAATTGTCACTATAGTTCTAAACATCATTACTTCCACCATATATATATATACACACCCCCTTGTCATACTAACATCAGCAACTCACTATAAATTCCAAGCTCCATATCATGTCCATCTAAATTCTTGAAGGAAGCCATGAAGGTTCAGCAGCTGATGTCAGGCTTCTGGGAGCAACTCCCTTCTTCCTCTTCGTCTTCTTCTTCCTCCTCCATCTCCTCTTTGACGACCGATAAGTCTAAGCGCCTCCGTCCACTTGCACCGAAGCTCACCTCCACCGCTGCTGCTTCGACCGCCGACACCAGGAACTCTCCTCTCTTGAAAAGCTTCGATTGCCCGGTGACCTCCAAAAGCACCTCCGGAAACCTTAATGTCTCACTAGTAGGTCTTCATGCCTGCGGTTGTTGCCTTACCAGTTCTACTGGTGTCAATTACTACTAGTCGCCGAAACCTGATGAGGGACGTGTTACTGGGTGCAGTTGCAGTTGCAGATGCAGTCAGGGGGTACGCGGTGGAACCCAACGCCGGAGCAGATAGAGGTACTGGAGGCGCTGTACCAGGGTGGCATGCGAACGCCGAACCCGCCCCAGATCGAGCGGATCGCCGCAGAGCTTGGCAAGTACGGTAGGATCGAGGGCAAGAACGTGTTCTACTGGTTTCAGAACCACAAGGCAC